AAATTATTACATAACATTTATCCTATCAAAAATGTCTTAAAGAAAAGATTTGGATCATACTTTGATACAAATATCTCCTTTTGTCAGATTAACGCTGAAACTCCTCGCTTATTTTGGTCATGCAATTGTCCAAATATTACTTTACAGCATTTTTCTGTGACTACAAAAGTCATTTTTGGTGTTTTTTATAACAAAGTTTAATGTCTACTTTAAAATAAACCTTTTTCTTTATGCAGATTTTATGTTCATAAATGTATATTGTCAATGTCAAGTTGCAAGCTAACATTTCTAGCATTTACAAGAGATTAAAAATTACTTACAGTTCCAGATTCACTTAACAAGAAAGTACTCAAAGCATACCATTTGCACGACCTTTATAATCAATTAAATCTCTAAATTGCTGCTTCTTATTTTGCCCTCTTCACTTTCAATTTTTTTTAAATCTATATATCTACCCTCAGATCAGATGGCCTATTGATATTTCTTTGTTTTTTGTTTGATTTCTGTTGGTTGTTCCTCTTTCTTTTTTCTTCTTTTTCATTCTTTATTGGCACCATTGTAAATAATCTAATGATTATTATTGTAAATGATGTGCACCAAATGTATCTTTCTGTAATACAGTAAATGTATTTAAAAAAGATAAAGAAAATATTACACAGGTATCCCTGCCATCTGTTCATTAATACATTTTAAAAAGACATTTCATCAGAATGTTTTAAACCTGAAAGTCTCCTACATCTATTTTGTGCTTGTACATTTATTGACGACTTTTGGAAACTGGTTTCAGGGTTAATTTTTTACTCAGTTTATAATAAAATTATATATAATTAACTTGGATGAATGCATGATTCTTTTTTAAACTGAAAACTGGCCATGATACACTCGGTAATGCTTTGAAGTTGATTATTTTTCTTGGGACGTTTCACATACACAAGGCAAAATTAAAGTCTATAACCCTCTCCTTCAATTAATTTATTTTTCTTATAAGTTTGAAACAGGCAACGCAGTGGAGCAGTAGGTAGTGCTGTCGCCTCACAGCAAGAAGGTCGCTGGTTCGAGCCTCAGCTGGATCAGTTGCCGTTTCTGTGTGGAGTTTGCATGTTCTCCCTGCGTTCGCGTGGGTTTCCTCCAGGTGCTTCAGTTTCCCTCACAGTCCAAAGACATGTAGTACAGGTGAATTGCCTAAATTGTCCATAGTGTGTGTGGATGTTTCCCAGAGATGGGTTGTGGCTGGAAGGGCATCCACTGCATAAAACTGTGTGCTGGATAAGGTGGCGGTTCATTCCACTGTGGCGACTCCGGATTAATAAAGGGACTAAGCCGAAAATAAAATAAATGAATAAATAAAGATTTAAACATTTTACAATTTTACTGAGTAAAATATTATGAAATATTTCATAATTTTTTGACTGTTACATATGTCATCTTGAATGCAATTCTAATTCTGTCTTTAAACACCCATAATGTAATCAGAATTTAGTGTTATGTTACTTTGTGTCAGATCAGCAGGTTTTGAATGTAAAAAAAGGCCATGTTTTTACCATGCTACATTAATTTTTTATTTTAAAAAGGAGATACTCTATGAAGTTATAATAAAACTTCTAGTAGTTTAATTCAGTCCCTTTTAATTTGACAATTATTAGTGCTCATAAACAGCCCAAGTTTATATGTATTTCTAACAATATAACATCAAAACAGAAGCTAAATATTAGCCTACACGCTCAAGAGCTCTTTACAATTTTTTTGTACTCGCAATACCATTCTACTTTCTGGTGAAAAATTGAACATATAATAGCCTAATTTTTAATAAAAAAAAAGGGTAAATATAAAATATATAGTTTGAGGCTTTGATTTTGCAAAGGCATTTAAACACACAATGTATCATCCATGTTATAGCAAAGGTTTAATAATTGAAATGAAACTCTAGAGATGGAAATAATTCTGAAACACTGACTACGATTGCAAACTGATAAATGAATGAGGTTTTGTGCTGCAGGCAGAACTTCAGACTCTGCAGACCTTTGCTCAGTCGCTCAGTCCTATCAGTAACCTCCAATCTAAAGACAATATAACAGAACTGAGCTGACATTACCCAGATGCATAATCTTATTTGTCATGTTAATTATGTTTTCAAAAAGCACTCAATTCTATTAAATATATATATAAAACTACAACTACTGAGTCCTGAAGTAGATGTTAATAATCACAGTTGTTACTGCATCTAGCCTTCCTACAATATTTTTGTATTTATACATATTTCATGCATTCTAAACATTAGATAAGTATTTTTATTAACGTTGATGAGAAAACTCCATTATAACACAGTATTGTTGTTTATTTTTTACCAGTTTAAGCACCATTTAAATGAACAAGATTTTAAAACAGATTCAGATCTTTTGTTTGTGTTTATGGGAGTAACTGAAGCATGAGTTGTAAAGGCTCCGCCCTTTTGACCTCATTTGCATTTAAGAAGACACACAAGCATCATATTTGTGTTTTCACCCAAAAAGGGCATTTGAAGCACGATATAATAAATGATCTGTAAGATATTTTGAGCTGAAATGTCTGAAAAGACATTCTGAGGACTTATATTACAGCTTGTTAAAGACATGAACCCCTCTAAAGTCTGTGTGAACTGGAAGTTGCTGAGAATTTTTTACCAGTATGTTGATGTACTTAAAATTGAAATGCAATATTGAGTAGGGGGCGGAGCATTCTTTTTTGCACATCATCACTCATAGCAAACTAACGATAAAAGAGGCGTGGTTTAGAATATTGAGGCTGAAGACATCAAACTGAAATGTTCAGAATTGATTGAAGATTACCAAAGCAATCAGTGCATTAACTTAACACAGATTAATTATTCATATAATTAATACTTTAAAAGGACTTTAAAATAAGCAGACTTCAAATTTGAAATGTGAACTATCCTTGTTGGTGCCCACATAAAAAAATATTACTGTATAGTAATTCATAACAAATACTATAGTATTTTTAAACTACTAAGGTACTTGCATTAATCTGTTGTGGTGATTTTATAGTTGCTGATAACAAAACAACTATAGCAATATAAAACATACAGTAGTTTCTATAACTGCACAGTATATTAAACTACATAAAAACTACAGCTTACTATAGTAAAAATGTAAGTATACTACAGTAATAATTATCAGTTTGCAATAATACTACAGTATGTGTATTTGCTTTCAGTAGTAAAAAGAAGTTAAGACTTCACTCAAAACATACAGTTTGTTTAAACTACTTATTTAAAATTAGATGAAACAACACAGTTATTCAGTTTTAGTCTTAATTGTTTTATGTTTAATCCACTTAAATGTGTAAAAAAAAAAAAACTTTATAATTCCTTCATGTTGCCCCAATGATCGCCTCAAAGCAAGAAGGTCACTGGTTCGAGCCTCGGCTGGGTCAGTTGACATTTCTGTGTGGAGTTTTCCACCACAAGTCCAAAGACATGCGCTATAGGTGAATTGTTCGTAGTGTACGTGTGTTAATGAGGGTGTATGTTTCCCAATGATGGGTTGCAGCTGGAAGGGCATCCACTGTGTAAAACATATGCTGGATAATTTGGCGGTTCATTCCACTGTTGCAACCCCAGATTAATAAAGAGCCTAAGCCGGAAAAAAAAATGAATGGATGAATAACTATATTTACAACTATATGGGCCGATTTAACCAATTGGCAAAGTAAGCGGCCGCTTAGAGTCCCAGAAAATCTGCGGGCTCCCAATAAATCGTCACCTTAGAATTATAAGGTTCTATCTGACATTTTTGTCAAAATTGAGTTATTAACATATTCTTATTCAATGACAACTTATTTACATTATGCGATTTTTTACATTTTAAGACTTTTTATTTAAAAAGCAAATGTTACACACATACTGTTTGCTAAAAAAAACTTGAATCTCAATATCTCAAAATTATTCAGAACGCAGAGAGAACCTTATAATTCTAAGGTGACAAAATGCCTATAAGTATAAATTAAACCTATATATCATCATTTTCTATCATATTTTGTATGCTGAGGGTACAACAAATAAAATTTTAACTATAATTATTACATCTACACAAATTTGTCCCCCATCCTTAATCATAAAGCAGTGCAGCAGTCAAATCAGGTAAAGATTTATTTAAAAAATAGTTTATTATTTTCAGTTGTGAATTCATTTTAACAAAATTAATCATTAAATTGCATTAAGATAAAATGTAGAAAAGGAGAGAGAAAGAAGATATTAGTTAGTTATTTAGTTAAAGTTATTAGTAACTAATAAGGTTATTGAACTACACTGTAACACTCAACAGTCAACTTTATCAAATGAATGAGTGTAGTTAACCAAAATGTATTGAAAGTTAATTCTACTCATTTGAAGAATTTTGAACTCAGTGTTGAAGGTAATGGGTTAATTAAATACCTCATTACTTCAACTTAAATGGATTAAGTTGACAGTACTCATATAGATTTGTTTTTTAACTCAAATGGTTTGTGACAATTGGTTTCCTCAAACGGTTTGAGTTGCCTTAACTTATTGGGTTTTACAGTACTCAGTTGGTTTGAGTTCTCTTCATTTATTGGATTTTACTGTGCTCAAATTGCTTCGTTTATTCAAATGGATTAAGTTCATAGTACTCATATAGATTAGTTTTTTTTTTTTTTTTTTAGCTCAAATGGTTTGTGGCAATCGGTTTTCTAAACTGGTTTGAGTTACCTTAACTTTTGAGGTTTTACAATGTAATAACCTTACCTTTTATGTTTCTGATTGTAATACAATAATGTGCGTCTTTTATAAATCTGCTTTGAAACAGCAATAATTGTTAAAAGTGCTATACAAACACACTTGAATTGAATAGTCTAACATTGTGAAATCAGATTGGAAGTGGCTTTGGTTCAGTGAGGGTTTGTGATGTGGCGTGTGTGGCGATGTTAATGATTTACTGACAGTAACCTCTAATCCAATCTCAGCCTGTCAGACTGTGATCTCCATGGACTAGCTCATTCACCGACAAGACAGAGAGAATGACATTCAGCTGGGATTTAGCTCCTCTTTCCCTCTGACTGCTGGATTTGTACAAAAAAAATGTACACAAAGGAACTGATCTACTGAGGATTTGCCAGATGAATCCAAACATGGCAGCTGTACATTCATTCATTCTGTTTCAAATGTTCTTCGGATTTTTACACCAAGGTTTGGCTTTGATTTCAGACTACAAATTCTGTGGAGATCCAGAATGTGAAAGTAAGATCTTTTTTATACTCTGTAAAAGAAAGATTACAGTGTTGTGATGTGTGTTTACCTGTTTTGGAGTGTATGGCTTCGTACAAAGTCATACTCATGTGCAAGTTGTTGACATGCTTTCTTATCTTTGACTTTTTGTCCAATTTTTTCTTTTTTCAGGAATGATAAGTCGTGTGCAGGCACAGAGAGATCATGTTACTAAAGACTGCCGCTTTCTAAACTTTAAAAAAGGAGATATAATTACCGTTTACTACAAACTCACTGGAAAAAGAAATGATCTTTGGGCAGGAAGTGTGAGTTCTTTTTGTTATTTTGACACGTTACTACTATTTTTAATTTATTCAGTTCATATGCTGTAAAATATGCTAGATTACATTCCTTCATGTTGTCCCAACACAAATCGATTAAGTTAACTTACTTGTTTTTACAAATTTAAGTGGATTGAACATAAAACAATTAAGTTGTCCCAACAAAATTCTGAAGAATTGTGTTGATTTAGTTCATTTTAAATAAGTAGCTTGAACAAGCATAATAATGTTTTACATTTTGCAGACAGAGAAGCTGTTCGGATTGTTTCCAAAAGACGCTATAAAAGTTGATCAGCTATTTATTGATGAGAAAAAGGAAATCCAGGTGCCGACCCAGGTAATGTACAAACTATTGAAAATATATATATGTATTTTGTCTTGTAACCTAACACTTCATGAGATATTTAATAAAATCAAGCTCCATATTAAGTCACAGCAATCATTTTAAAGCTGCTGATAATACAGGGGGGCTAATAATTCTGACTTCAACTATATATATATATATATATATATATATATATATATATATATATATAATTTGTAAATGTCATTATTGTCCATTGAAATGACAGACTTCTTTCATGGTCATGCATGCAGGATTTTTTCAAGCAATTTTGTCAGCTCAAAAGGATAGTTCACCCAAACAAAATTTAAATATATGTTAAATTTACTCACCCCCAAGTAACTCCAAACCTTTATGAGTTTCTTTTTACTGTTGAACACAAAATAATATATTTTGATGAATGTTGAAAACCAGTAGCCATTGACTTCCATGGCAGAGGAAAAACATTGTGAAAGTTTTCAACATTGTTTTAAAATATCTTCCTTTGTGTTCAACAGAAGAGAACAACTCAAACAGGTTTGAAACCAATGTAGGTTGAGTAAATAATATGTGAGAATCTTTAGGTTTATTTGCTTTTTAATTGCCAATGGCTTTTAATGCATCTTAACAGGCCCATGCAGAGACTGTCCAAAGGGCATGTGCCGGATAAATTTTTTGAGGAGTGGGGGGGTGGGGGTTGTTGTCGCGTGCGTACTGAACAGCGGTGTTGTTGCACTTTTGAACATTTTGGAAGGGCATTTTCTATCCAAGACTAAAAAGGGCTTGTGCACTGCACAGGCTGAGCCCTATGTGTGCACATGCCTGCATCTTAAAAATCAACATATTTTCCAATTTCCTGAAGGTCTTAGGTTTCTTGCACTCAAGAAAAGATTTGTGATGCTTGGTCAAACTACTTACTTAAATGAGCTGAATCTTTTTTCTTTAGTTTTCTTTGGATTACTTAATTATTTTATGTTCAATACACTTACATTTGCAAAAACAATTACGTTAACCTAATCGATTTGTGTTGGGACAAAATGAAGGAATGGAATCCAGCATATTTTACAGCATATGAGCTGAATAAATTAAAAATAGTAGTTACGTGTCAAAATAACAAAAAGTACCTACACTTCCTGCCCAGAGATCATTTCTTTTTCCAGTGAGTTTAAAGTAACTCATTTGCATTGTGTAAGCATTTACAGTGTGTACATGAAAGCCCGGTAGACAGATTTTTATATTTTATGTAAAGGACCTATACCCATTTATTTTTTGCCAAAAAACTCTTTTCTACAACGTTGAATAAATAAATGCTTATAATGTTCAAGATGCTGGCAAAAGATTAATCACTGGCTGCAGTTTATTTATCAGCCACCAGTTCAGCTAAAAACAACATTTTTTACAAATATCACATTTAACTCCACCATTTTATTGCAATCTAAAGCTTTCATTCAGAGTTGCATGCATCCAATCAACAATTGATGGACTGAAGCAAGTACCCACCCTACTTTTTTTCATTAAAATTAACCATTTCATTCAGACATACGTCATAAAGCTGAAAAATAGCTAACATATTACACTGAAAAGGGTGGCACGGTGGCTCAATGGTTAGCACTGTCGCATCAAAGCAAGATGGTCATTGGTTTAAGTCCCGGCCGGCTAGGTCAGTTGGCCATTCTGTGTGGAGTTTGCATGTTCTCCCCGTGTTTGTGCTTTGGTTTCCCCCACAGTCCAAAGACGCTATTATAGAGCAAATCCTTTATAGAGGATTTTATTGGTGAAATAGATTAATTAAATTGGCCGTAGTGAATGCAAATGTGTATGGGTTTTACCCAGTAGTGCCTTGCAGCTGGAAAGGCATCCGCTGCATAAAAAAAACATATGCCAGAATAGCTGGCGGTTGATTCCACTGTGGCAACCCCACATTTAGGGGGGGACTAAGCTGAAGGAAAATTAATGAATAAATTAAACTGAAAAAAAGATTAATTGGATTTACAAAATATTTTAAGTTAAGTAGCTGCAAACAATTTAAACAAATGAATTTAGTAATGTTCAACTTATTTCGTTTAGGCCATTTAAAGAGTTTACAACCACTTCCAAATCCAATTAATCATTTTTTTTTTTGGGGTAGAAACTTCACGTTTTACATTGTACAGAATTTACTGACTCATATAGCTTCTGTCTATAAGCTAAACAATATCAGACAGAATCAATTCTTACATGTCGATTCGTGTCTTTTAAGAACATGAATATTAATCAGTGCATAAATTCTCTCCTCAGGAATTTGACTTCATGTGCTTTGATGAAAATGGTGTAGTAATTGAGCCCAGCACTGAATTTGATGATACAGAAGATTTGACACAAGAAACACAAGAAAACAATATCAACGAAGTCTACGATACCCCTAACGATGATACAGAAGAGACTGAACCCATCCAGATTTCTCCTCAAGACGTTTCCAATCAAAACAGCCCCGAGACGACAGAAAAAGGTGGGTCTTCGTGGATAGGCTCTGCTGTTAGTGGATGGTTTGGCAGGAATGAACAAAGCAATGCTGAACCACAGGATGAAAGCAGCGAAGAATCCTTCAAAAGCAGAAAAATAGTGATGGACATTGAGGAGCGCCACGCTGAGGAGAAGGAAAACTCTGGAGCATTTGGTTGGCTCAGCGGTGAATTGACAAATGCTTTCGGATTCGGTAACCAGGATCTCAAGACGGATGCTCAGGAAAATATTGATACTCCAACTGATGATAAGCAAACCAACTCCTGGATGAGCATGGGTAGAGATGCCTTGGGCTTCGGTGAAGACAATTCAGCTGAAACCGAAGCACAGAAAGCAGAAGAAAACCCAAACATGGAGGACCAGAGCTTAATTAACCCCAATCAGAGCATGGAAAACGACCCAGATGAGGATGAAAGTGAAAAAGTAGAAGAACAAACGGGGTGGTATGGTGGTATCTACAACCAAATTACAAATCTTTATGGAGAAGAGCAAACTAAACATGATGAGAATGATGATGAGATCTTACCTGAGGAAAAAAAACCAGAATTTGCTACAGATATTAAGAACATTGAAACCAAAGAGTCCGAACCAAGTTCACAGTCCATATTTTCAGTCAGTGGCTTGGCATCAGTTATGAAGCTTCCGTTTCAGGAAGACGTGGTAGTAAAGACAGATGAGGAACAGACAGGAAAAAGTGAAGATCCAGGTAAGGGAGATTTTGATGAGGAACAAAGTAATGAGGATAGAGAAGAAAAAGAAATGATAACTGATGTTAATGAGCAGGACTCAGTCGCAACAGACACTGACATGTTTAATGAAACTCAGATGGTGTCTGATAAAACCAAAACTATGGCTGTTACTGAATCTGATAGCACGCAACAACTAGATGGAAAGTCCAATGCAAGTGAGGAAAGCACATTTACTTTCAATGCTGATGTTTTAGTAGAAGACGTGAAGCAAGATGTGCAAAATAATGAGGCTGTAAATATAAGTAAGGATGATTATAATGAGAAACGAAACACTAACAAGGATCAAGAAGAAGAAATGTTGAGTGATGTTAATGAGGAAGACCAAAACCCAAAAGATATACTAGGTGAAACTCCTGACAAAACAATGGCTCATTTAAAAGATAGCATTGATACTGATAGCACTGAACAAATAAAAGAAAGATCTAATGCTTCAGAAGAAAGCGCAAATTCCAAAATCCTTGAAAGTAAGTCTGCAGATAATTTAAATGAAGTTAAAAATGAATACAATGCCGATGTGATAGATGTGAAGCAAGATATTGAAAATAATGAGGAAAATACAGCAAAGGATGTAAATATAGGTAAGGAAGAAAACACTAGGAAGGATCAAGAAGAAGAAACAGTGACTGATGTTAATGAACAAAACTTAAAAACAACAGACAGCGATGTGCTTGGTGAAAATCAGCTTCTGTCTGAAGAAACAGTGGCTTTTTTAAAAGATACAGCTGAATCTGATAGCACTGAACAGCTCGATGAAAAATCTAATAAGACTGAAGAAACATTCACACATTTACGAATCCTGGAAAAGAAGTCTGAAGATAAAAGTGAAAATAGCGCCGATGTTTTGGAAGTGGAGAAAGATATGAGAGATATGCAAAAGGATGAGGAAAAGTCAGCAAAAGAAGTCATTTTAGGTAAGGACTTTTTTGAGCAACTGAATGTGATGGAGGATAAAATGTCTGATGCTGACAAGCTAGAATCAATCTCAGAGGCTGATTTAATCAGTGAAACTCACACATCTGATGAAACAATGATTTTAAAAGACAGCGTTTCATCTGATGATATTAGAGAACTGAATGACTCTTCACCAGACATTAACATTCAGAATGAAAATGAAGTTGAATTGGCAGATAATTCAATTAGTGGAGTTATTCAAAGTGAAAACTACTTAACCGATTCAGTTGATGATATTTCACAAAGCAAACTGACACCAAATCTATCTGATCAAGAAAATGTAGACACTACAAAACAGCAAGAAAATGATTATGATCAATTTAATACAGAACGCATCACTTCTGCTGATACATCAAAACAATTGCAGGTAGAGATACATGATCAGAAATCCCAAGAATTAAATGTTTCCTATTCATACAGCGACTCTCAAACGGAGATGGTCATTATTAGTGAAGATGTAAAAGCAGATGAGATTTCAGAACTGACTGTGTCTGATGTTTTATTAAATTATGATAATGAAAAACAATTAAATGACAAAGATGCAACAGAACATGATGGGTTAACTATGGACAGAAATGATGGGTTAGTTATGGACAGAACAGATGTATTAGTTAATGATCGGTTAGTTATGAACAGAAATGATGGGTTAGTTATGGACAGAACAGATGAATTAGTTAATGATGGGTTAGTTATGGACAGAAATGATGGGTTAGTTATGGACCGAACAGATGAATTAGTTAATGATGGGTTAGTTATGGACAGAAATGATAGGTTAGTTGTGGACAATAAAGATGGGTTAGTTACAGACAGAAATGATGGGTTGGACAGAAATGATGAGTTAGTTATGGACAAAAATGATGGGTTAGTTATGGACATAAATGATGGATTAGACACAGGAGGAAATGATGAATCGGTTAAGGACCAAAATGATGGGTTAGTTACGGACAGAAATGATGGGTTAGTTGTGGACAATAAGAATGGGTTAGTTACAGACAGTTATGATGGGTTGGACAAAAATGATGGGTTAGTTATGGACATAAATGATGGATTAGACACAGGAGGAAATGATGAATCGGTTAAGGACCAAAATGATGGGTTAGTTACGGACAGAAATGATGGGTTAGTTGTGGACAATAAGGATGGGTTAGTTACAGACAGAAATGATAGGTTGGACAAAAATGATGGGTTAGTTATGGACATAAAAGATGGATTAGACACAGGCAGAAATGATGAATCGATTAAGGACCAAAATGATGGGTTTGTTACGGACAGAAATGATGGGTTAGTTGTGGACAATAATGATGGGTTGGACAGAAATGATGGGTTAGTTGTGGACAATAATGATGGGTTGGACAGAAATGATGGGTTAGTTGTGGACAATAATGATGGGTTGGACAGAAATGATGGGTTAGTTGTGGACAATAATGATGGGTTGGACAGAAATGATGGGTTAGTTATGGACATAAATGAATCACTTATGGACAAAAATGATGGGTTAGTTATGGACATAAATGATGGATTAGAGACAGACAGAAATTATGAATCAGTTACGAACAAAAATGATAGGTTAGTTATGGACAGGAATGATGGGATAGAGACAGACAGAAATTATGAATCAGTTATGGACAAAAATAATGGGTTAGTTATGGACAGATTTGATGGGTTAGACACAGATAAATCGGTTATGGACAAAAAAGATGAATTAGTTATGGACATAAATAATGGGTTAGTTATGGGCATAAAAGATGAATCACTTACAAACAAAAATGATGGGCTAGTTATGGACAGCACTAATGGGTTAGATATGGACAGAAATTATAATTTAGCTATAAATAGAAATGATAATGTAGTTATGGACAGAAAAGAAGTACAATTTGTTGAGGCATTATCAAAAGACATCACATTTGATGAAGAAAAGTTACCAGATTCAGAACCACTGGATATAAGCAATGAAGATGAATTGAGCACAGAAATAAATTCACTTGATGAAGGAAGAGATCAAATTCATCTTGAGCCAAATTCAGCCCCAAACACCACTAATGATGAAATCAATAATACCATGGAATCGCATGATGGATCTGTGGAGAAAGCAGGTATAAGTAAGGACACTGATTCAGAAAGAAAATATACAGATAAGGTTAAAATTCATGAAGAACAAGAGGAACCAAAGACAGTTTCTGAACCCACAGAAATTGAATTTGAAACTAAAGAGATTAAGGAGGACACACACAACAAAAATGGATACACAACAAACACATCAGAAGGATTTGGGGTCTCAAAGAATGACGGTCATGATCTTGACATTCCGGAAAAGACAGACAATGGTAACATTTTTAACACGGACTCAAATGGACATAAAGCATCCACAGAACCAAATTTAACAAGTCATTTCTTCTCAAAGGAAGAGCCAGTTCTGGATGACAGTACTAATTATATCACACTTGATCAAAATCAGACTGTAGAGCATAAAGAGGAAACTGCAAATGATGACAATCATCAAACCAAATCAGAATATGTCAGAAAACGGGAGAAAAGAGACACAGGTGTCATACATGTTCAAAGTAATGATGCTGACATGGCAGTGCATTCACAAGATGAACAGGAAGAGCAGCTTGGAAGACCTCAACACAAAAAGACTTTCAGTCATTCTCCGGAAAACTTTAAAGTATATAAAAACTTACATTTTCATCTGAGCGAGCAGAACATTCAAGATCTGTCGGATTTATTTGGAGACCACAAGTTATCATGGCTCGATTCCAAAATGGAAAACACCCATACGGGTCCAGATAACAATGATCTTGAGGAACTCAGTGACTTTGAACAGCTGTTGGAGTATTATATGAAGATGAACACAAAACTGGGGCTTATTCAGCAAGATAACAGACCTGGCGAGGATAATGATAATAATAAAGAATATCCTGCTCTACAAAAGCTGCTTACCCTTTTATCTACTCTAAAAAAGACATATTCAGCTGCGATAGCAGATATCAATGTAGAAAGACAAGGTACAGATGATTCGTACTGAACATTTACGAAAATAAAAGCAAGCACTTTTACAAATAAAGGTTCTTTATTGGCATCTATGGTTCCACAAGGAACTTTTGCCATCCATGGAACCTTTCCATGACACTAAAGTTTCTTCATAGAGGATTTTCTTTTAGATTTTAAAAATGTCCTTGATATCAGGAGAAATAAATATTTAAGAAATGTCATTAAAAGGATCTTTGGGGAACCAAAAGTGGTTCCTCTTTGGCATCACTGCTAAACCCCACCTTTGGAACCTTTATTTTTAAGAGTGTAACGTAATTGGATCTATTAATTTTGATGAATTTTTTGCATGGCGAAAAAACGTTTGCATATTTGATTAATGGGAAATCCTGGTTTTTCACAATCCTGTTTTGTTATTTTATTCTTACGGGTGACTGTAATGTATAAGTGGTCAAGTCAAATTTTCTGTGGACCTAATGTTCCCTCTCCTTCCTCGCAGGGATCAGCAAAGATGAATGTTTTCATGAGGCATGTCTAGATGTGAATAAGGACACGGTAATTTCTTCAAAAGAGGTTGAAAATAATCCAGTTATTGCAGAAATGTCTGATATTAATGACTTGAGCAGTCCTCAAAATGAGCCAGTTTCTCAGAAGAAGGAGATTTCATCAAGTAGAGCTATTGTGAAGGATGTTCAGTCTGAGCAAATAAGAAAAGAGGAGGATTGGACATCTTCTGATATCAAGAAAACTACTGCCCAAAACCATGTCCTGTTCTCTGAGGAGCTCGTTGAATCGCAAAATGGTAATCAATTTTAAGATAATTTGCTATTTAAAAGAACAGGTGACATTTTCTACCCCACTAACGTGGTCAAACTTAAATGTTTTTGTTCTCTTTCACAGGGGAAGGGTATTTCTATCACATGGCAGTTTTTGTTGAAGACACAATTTATGAAATTGCATCAATAGTGGTCAAGGTAAGTCTCTTTGAAAAATTTGTGTTTAAAAGTAGCCTCTTACTGTAAAACAACTGGTATATTTAACAGCCATGGAATGATTTGGTGTCCCACAACTGTTTTAAAATATAACGAGCACAATCTTGTTATCTTAATTTAGGCAGTCATAAAAAGTACTGGGTAAAGTTACTTTTTAAAGTAGTTCAATACAAACCCGGGCGATGCGGTGGCGCAGCGGGTAGCACGTTCGCCTCACAGCAAGAAGGTCGCTGGTTGAGCCTCGGCTGGGTCGGTTGGTATTTCTGTGTGGAGCATGTTTTACCCATGTTTGCATGGGTTTCCTCCAGGTGCTCCGGTTTCCCCCCACAAGTCCAAAGACATGTGGTACAGGTGAATTGGGTAGGCTAAAATTGACCAAAGTGTGTGTGTTTCCCAGTGATGGGTTGTGGCTGGAAGGGCATCCGCTGCGTAAAACATATGCTGGATAAATTGAGGGTTTATTCCGCTGTGGTGAGCCTAGATTAATAATGGGACTAAGCCGAAAAGAAAATGAATGAATAATACAAGCCTAAGCTTAATTTTACTCTTAAAAACACACACAAATAACATAACGCAAACCATCACATTACACCCTTAAAAAGCCACACAATTAGTAACTTTTTTAACATTTATTTTATATATATATATATATATATATATATATATATATATATATATATATATATATATATATATATATATACACACATTTTATATTACCCAAAACTGCTCATGAAAATATAATGTAACATGGCTAATTTTTAACACTTTAAATGTCTTTATCCACCTATTAAAATTGCGGTTTGGCCAATCCATGTTTCCTCATTACTGGCTTTTTAATTAAAATGTTTATTTTATGTCAACGTCGACAGAATCAGTTAAATGATTGATGATTGACATGGATTATAAAGAAAACAGAACAAAATGTGAGCATAAAATCCTGTTAATGAAAATTAACCATTTTCTTAAGATGCAATGTGTTTAAAATATAACTTTTGAAAGAGTTTCTTGTCATAATTTGTATCCTGTTTGTAAAAAACATGCCGACGACTAATATTACAGTCTATTTTAGTCTTGACATGTCTCCAAATGATATCAGATTTTGCACTCAAGCCAAGTTATTTATTATTAAGTATTTATTGTTTCTATAACTAAATATCCTATTAAACCCTTTAAATGAGTATTATATAGAGAGCTAATAATACAAACATAAAAGTAATCTAATTTTCAGATGAGCTGGGCTGCTCAACCGGTCTCTGGATTACTGACCTTGTTTGAATACATATATTTAACTGTCACTCCCACTAATGAAACATACTTACGCACATTTAGGTAACTACAGATGTTTTCATAATCAGCTCATGGCAAATATTCATGCGTGATCACCTTGACGTCTGTCACTTTAAAACTACCGGAACGTTGTGGCATTCAGCAATTGGTGACGTGTGGAAGAAACCGTAATCGTTGTGGGGATGTTATTTCATTGCGAATTTTACTTTTACTTTTAATTTTTTCTTAAAGAAAAAACAGTACTGTTTATCTGAACAAAGTGTGTATTCTTATAATTTAAAGCACATAAAAACAAACCTAACTGTTTTCCTTTTTGAATTTTCTAAGCACTAGATACAATACGTAACGAACCCCCCTAAAACAGAACAGTGAGCTCTTCCGCTCAGCGCAGTGCGCACTAGCAGTCAGAGTAGAGTAGCATCCGGCACCATGGCATGACAACAGATAAATGATCAGATTACAAAATACAAAATAACTCAGTTTAAATATAATCATGGCAGACGAAATTAAAGCCGAGTCGGTTGTGACGGAAGCGACTGACATGAAAGGAGCGGCGAATATTTACTACACACTCGCGGTGGAGAAAATCAAAGATGTAGGTGCCAGTGTGTGTGTGATGAAACCGCTTGAGTGTGTGTGTGTGTGTGTGTGTGTGTGTGGCAACTGTCAGCAGGTGTCATGTTTATTTTTTTAAGTAAGCTGTCATAGTACGCATCATGTACTCGAGTGTACTATTTGCTGGATAAATGTTGGCTTTTAGATGTGTGAACGGTTTTATAGAAAGGCATATAGCTTGTTAGCATTGCTCCATCTGTTACATGTTGACCATATTCCTAACGTGATTGATTTTACGGATTTTATAGGTACAAAAATCAAGCTGTCCTTGGTATTAGCTTTGTTTAACTGTTTATAATGGTCTGGCAAGTTGGAAGTATATTGTGTTGTATCTTCTTGTTTGTTTTGGTCAGTTTTTGTGGGTCAGTGTGACAAAAGGATGTCTGAAATGATCAAATATCATAAAAGAGTATGCGTTAGAAGCTTTAATATTACAATGATTATAAGTAAACTCATTATTTTGTATTATTATCAAATGACTATTTTATGGAAAAGCCATTATATGTGTTTGTTTAAACTTGCAAATGAGTACAAGTTCATGTGAACTCACTAAAAAATAATCACATTACAATATATCTGTTTAAAGTGTTGTTTAATTTGTAAGAGTGTACCAATAATAAGGGGTTTAAAAGACATGTTAAAGCTTTACATGTATTATTTATACTTCCTTTTTATTTGAGAACCCATATAACTGTTTAACTTCTGTGTTTTAGGTTGTGTCTTCACTTCCTGATGACATTCGGCCTGGTCCTGACTTGTATGGACTGCCATGGGAAGCTGTGTTTTTCACTGGATTTTTAGGTTTATCCATACTGCTACTGTTCACCTGCAGGTTCATTCAGTCTGTAAGTCACATATTTCTGCACATTAATTTAAATAATATAAAGCTATGGGAGGTGTGTAAACAAATCTTTGGGTTTACTTGATTTATTAGATAAAATGTTAATATTTGAGAAAAAAAGTTAATGTCTGAAAATATTTTTATTATTTAAAATTTTTTATTTGAAATTGAAATAAAAAGATTGTCAATTAGAGCACTTTTTCTTTTCAGAATATGACATGATTTAATTTGTTGTTATTGAATATCAGCAGTATTCCAACAAATAATGATTTCTTAACATTGCTATTGTGTAGTCTATCTGAAGTTTTATTTTAATTTTTTGTCAGAAAAGGTTCTAAATGGCAACGTTTATTTGAAATTTGGAGTAAATGTAATCAGTAGCTTACAGAATAAAACTAAAATTACAATTTACTAGCGCTGGACAAAGATTAATGTGATTTTTGCAAATTATTGCGTTCAAAATAAAAGTGATTATATATATTTATTCTGTTTATGTGATACACATACATAAATACAAAACTATACATAAAAATCGCATCATGTAGATATTTACATTTATGTATTATTTGTATCATATACATTTATTTAATTTATTAGGGAAAATGTTGTTTGGGTAAATTGTTAATGTTTGTTTAATTCTATAAATGTCTAATAATGTTTCTTCCAAAATTTAAAATTAAATATTGTCATTAAGAAAATGACAATTTGTCAGAATAACAAATGATTTCATTGGATGTCATTGAATGCCAGTGGGATTCAAGTAAATATTGATGTCTAAACTCTTTTAAATTTAAAACATTTGCATGGTGTAGTCTATAAATGTATATAAACATCTGAAATATCGCATTGTTTTTAGCACAAAAGGCTCTAATCTGTGAAATTTAACTGTAAATCATACATGCAAATCAATGATTTTTAAGTGGTCTCTTAATTTTTTCCATAGTTCTGTCACCAAAAATTAATCATGATCTTTTTCTGTTTTGTTCTGCAGATCAAAAGTCGATTATATGCAAGTGAGTGTTTTTCTAGCTCTTCATCTGATAAGATTTTGCTTTTAACCTACCCTCATTATCTGTTTTAACTGGTCAACTCTCAGCTTATCCTGACTGCTTGTTTATTTACAGGTAAAGAGAAGCAAATGGCACATAAAATGGCTGAACTTCTTGACGAAAAGTGTAAAGTGCTGGAGACATTCAGTGAGGTTAAACAGAAGGTGAGAAATACCAAATAGGATATATACACAACTGGTGTTTCTGAGCGCTTAATGTGACTTTTTCAATTTTTATACGGTTCCTTTTACAGCATTGATGTTGTAGTGTAATTAAAATATAATCAGTTAAATAGATCTCAGCATTCATTTAGTTGTTCAAGCGTAAAACGACATGAAAATTGAATATACCATTGAATATACCAGAGTAAAATAAATGTTCATATTTTAAAGACATGAAGTAGGAAAATGTAATTTAATGCAGTGCTTTTTTTTACAATTTGAGACCCATTTTATATTGTATATCAATCATGCAGTGAAGATCGTGGATTTTTAAAGAAATCAGACCGATTTCGTAACTGCATACAGTTCACCATAAGCGCTTAACCCAAAATTGCTTCTGCATTCTTCTGCATATACCCTATTATAAGCTCCAAACAACTATTGTAATTTTTGTATACAATAAAATGCACCTTTCTAAATCAGTTCCTCTGTATGAAGCTGTTCATCTTTCTTAACAGTTTGATAAACTAGAGTCCACACTGCAGAACAATGGCATGTCAGCACGAGCTGCAGAAAAGGACACTTTAGAGGTAAAGACTGTCATTATGTATTTGATGGATTGTTATTTACTTTTGCACTTTCAATTAATTGTAGTTAATAATGATACCTGTTTAGTTGCTTTTCAGTTACCATAATAGATCCTTGTTATATTCAGTATGTAAATATCTAAAATACATTCAGATGTTTTATTTAGTGAAACTGTTTAGGCTTCATTACAATATTACATCTGCTATTGAATTAATCAAACCATTTCACAGCTTATCATAACAATGAATGTTACACGTTAGAAACTGTCCTTTTGTTTTTGCTGTCTGAAAATGTTTCACTGATGTTTCAAAAAACATATCTTGCTTATCAACTCACATTGCATCTAGGTGGCATCCCAGAAACTTGAACAATCAAATGCTCAAATGAAAAAGGAAATCGAAAGGCTACAAGAAGAGCTGTCTCAGCAAAACAAAGCAAGAAAACAGCAAGAGGATCAGGTGATGAGCATTCACAAACACTTCCAGATCTCACTTTACATGTGGGTCAGGATGTCCCATTTTGTTGTGTGCATCAAATTACATTTACAAAAGGTATTTTATATATTCAACGAAAGCAAAAATGCAAGAATTCTTGTACTAAATTTGCTTGACAAGTTTACAAACTATTTCTAAAACTGTTTTTATAAAACTCTTTTTCTGAATGAGATTTTAGTGTAACAGTGTTAAATAATTGCCCTTTTTGAGCTCCGAAAAGCTGAATTACAGTTATATTGTATTTATGTTTTTTTATCCTTGACCACATATATTTATTACAGTCATCACCATTTGTGAATTGGTTTTAATGCTTAGTTCCTGCTATGTTACTGTTGTCTGAATCTGTCTTGACGGCTGCTAAATCTGTTTTACAGCTTGCCGAACTTGAGCAGATTTTAAGGAATTTAGAGGAGGAAGCTAAAGAGCGAAAGTCACAGTTAGAACAGGTATTATTAGCTATGTATATAGTGCATATTACAGTCATATTCCCCTTAAAACACAATATTCATGCAATCTGTGATTCTCTGCTGTTACCTGCTCATCTGTAGGACAACACAACACTGAAGATCCATGAGATCAACACAGAGAGACTACAGAAAAACCTGCTGGCAGCAAAAGAAGAGCATACAATGCTGCTTGAGAGTAAAGAACAGGTGAAATTTGTGTTAGTGGGAAGTTTAGAGAGGATGAATGTATCAGATGATTTCTTTATTAAAAATAGTTGTAATGCAATGAAAATGTACTGTGCGTGCATATGTGTCTGTTATGCACACAGTTAATGCAGGAGGCGGAGGGCTGGGGCGAACGTCTCAGTGAGCTGGAGGAGGAGATGAAAATGTGTGAAAGATCTCATGCTGGCATGATGGAGGACTGTGCTAATAAAGATGATCGCATTAAGGTAAAAGCATGATCCTTTAGAAAATCATTCTAATAGGCCGATTTTTTTATCAAAAACATTTTGTAATATTATGATGAAATTCATTATTTATCTGGGCAAACATTGTGCAGTACCAAGTGTGCTTCATGCAAGTGAGTGGGTTTGACAAACCACCTGTAGGAGACATTCGTTCCCTCTCCAAATGACAAGACAGCTTCTTATAAACATTGCATATTTCTGGGAAAACATTATACAAATCTGAGTGTGCTTCACACAGGTGAGTGGGTTTGACAAACCACCAGTAGGAGACACTCATTTCCTCTCTAAATGTATCAGACAGATTCTTATAAACATTTCATAATTCTGGGAAAATCTTGAACGATTCTGAGTGTGCTTCATGCAAGTGAGTGGGTTTGACAAACCACCTGTAGGAGACACTCTTTTTTTCCCATGTGCACCAGACACCTTATAAAAAAATCCATATATCTGGAAAAAACATGGTGCAATACACTCAACTGTGTGAAGCACACTCCATGTTTGACAAACCACCTGTAGAAGATACTCATTTTCTCTCCATATGCACCAGAGACCTTCTTTTAAGCATTCTATATTTCTGGGAAAACATTGTACAATTCTGAGTGTGCTTCACACAGGTGAGTGGATTTCACAAACCACCTGTAAGACACTCTTTCCTCGCCATGTGAACCAGAAAACATTTCTGGGAAAACTTTGTGTGGGTTTGATAAACCACCTGTAGAAGATAAACTAAAAGCTTTCTGGAGATTCCAGGTGCTTCTTTTATTCTCATTTGTAAGTCAATTTGGATGAAAAACGTCTGGTAAATGAATAGATGAAAATGTTATCAACGTTGACAGCCATTGTGGTGCTCCATATGTTTGTGGAAACCCTGATACAGTTTGAAATTTTCATCAAAGACATTGCATATTTAAAACTAAAATTTTTAGTAATAGTGTAACACTTTACTTTTTAGTAACAGTTATTAACACTTTAACTCAATTTAAAGCAGTTTTCCTGAATGAAAGTATTATAGAGTAGTGTTTGTAAAATGGGTGGCGCGGTGGCACATTGAGTAGCGCTGTCGCCTCATAGAAAGAAGGTCACTGGCAACTGGGAGTAGACATTTCTTTGTGGAGTTTTCATGTTCTCCTCGTGTTTGTGTGGGTTTTCTCCGGATGCTCCGGTTTACCCCACAAGTCCAGAGACATGCACTATAGGTGAATTGGGTAAGCTACATTGTCCATGGTGTATGTGTGTGAATGAGAGTGTATGGTTGTTTCCCAGTGATGGGTTGCAGCTGGAAGGGCATCCGCTGCGTAAAACATATGCTGGATAAGTTGCCGGTTCATTCTGCTGTGGCTATATGTAATTCCGTCACATACAGTCTAATGCTTGACTTGCTGAAACTTCATTTCTAATAATCTGTTTATCATATTTTTTATTCCAGTCGCTCACAGAGTGCCTTTTGAAGATGCGAGATTGGGATTCAGAGGACGAGACCAGCATCGACGGCAGCACTAATATAGCTGGTGCTGCGAATGGAGACAGTTCAGGTTAAAAATGTTGTTCATATTGGAATGGTGTTTTTTATTTTTTAATCTAAAGTCGGATATTGAAGTATCAGTTGTTTTTGTGCTTACAGATTTCCATCAGAAGCAAAAAGTACAGAAACTTATAGAAGCGGCCAAGGTATTTTTACTCACATCCTGTTTGATTTAAATCCAGTTAACCTTTGGCATTGCTGACCTTGCAAAGCAGAACACTGGGTTTTTAAACACAGCCCTAACATATATTATGCAGTAAATAATGTAGTCTTCCTGTTTGTCACAGATGAGTGCAGACTTGAAGTCCTTGGAGGAGGACAAGAACAGAGTGTTCGCCAAACTTGCAGATGAAATTAAAGCCAAAGAAGATCTCCATGGTAAATCATTTGCATCCACTACAATTGAAACAGGTTTTAAGATGCATGAACCTAAACATTTGTTTTTGATTGGTTGTTGATAGAGATGACATATTTATAGTACAGTGTTTGGAGTAACTTGTTACATGTAACAAGGCAAGGCAAGTTTACTTGCATAGCACATTTCATAGACAATGGTAATTCAAAGTGCTTTACATAAACAAGAATAAAAGAAACAAGACCATACATACAACAGAGAATTAAATGATTAAAAAACAGATTCAAATGTGTTAAAACAGGTTTTAAAGTAATGAAAAAGAAAAGAAAGACATAATAGTGCGTACATAACAGCCTTAATTTAATTTACTTACAAAATAATTTTGTTACGCTTTTTATTTTAATGTGTCCTTGTTACAAGCAGCTATTCATTTAAATTGAGGAATATTAATTATTTACATGTACTTATTATATGGTTAGGGTTAGAATTTGGGTTGGTATCACTTTATTTTGATGGTCCATTTGAGTATTAGTAGACTGGCTGCATAAAATCCGTTGATTCTGCTCCTTCAATAGACATTTAGTGACTATAAGAAACTTTGATAGTTCGTGTGAACCTACACTAACCCTAACCCCAACCTGATAGTCTACTTATGATATAAGGAGAATTAGTTGGCATTTAGATGCAATGTAATTTAAATCCAACAAACGGACCATCAAAATAAAGCGTGACCTTTGGGTTAGCTCTAGTTGCATGTAATTATGCATGATTTATTGTTGTAGTCATTATAATAAGTCGAACAAGGACATCTTAAAATAAAGTGTTACTTTGAGAAAAAGAGTGTAATTAAATTAGTTACTTAAGAAAATGGTAATAAATACAAAGGGAGTTGCATCTGAAAAGTATAAAGCTCTTAAAATTTGAATAATATTAATTATTTGCTTTGATTGTTTTTATGTGTTATGTAATGCCTCCTTTAAAGGTTATTTACTAAACCAAGTTTATACTGCTGTTTTTTTCCTTATTTTCCTATATTTAAATCAGACAGGGTGTATGAGTCACACTTAGAAGGGGTGGTCCACTATAATATCACATTTTAAACTTTAGTTCATGTGTAATGTAGCTGTGTAAACATAAACAACATCTCTGAATGTAATTTGCTCATCGTTCAATGCAAATGAAGACATTCGCTTTTACGGAGTAAAATATATATATATATATATAGCTAGCATTTGACAAGGGACAGCTTTCAGAATCTCTCTCAGTTCAGTGCTGGATTCGGCTAAAAACTCCTCCAACCGAGGAAGCTGTGGATTGTGAGCCACAGCTTCTAAATATCAATTTGTTGAAAATTGATCAGTTACAGGCACAGTGTCTACTGTTTACGCAGCACAAAAGTGCGTGCTCGTAGGGGTGTGATGTGGAGCTAATCCGCAAATCACAGCACATTATGTTAGTTGGCTAATCAGAGCCTCTTGAGGGCGGGCCTTTTCAGGGGATCTAGGAAATATAACAGTCAATTTCATGTTAGCTGAGTCGCTGTATATAATCAAAGTAAGATGTATGAAAAAATTATGTCATTTTTATTTAATTATTTATTTATTTTACAAATGAAGCATAAGCACACATTGCTTTGCATCTTATAACCCCAAACGAGCCTTAAAATACACTGTGGGCCACCCCTTTAAATAGGGTTTTATATTGTTTTTTTTATTGTGCAACACATTGGACAACCCTTGGCGGTGTCCTATTAGTGCTATATAAAGTATGAAATTGATCTTGACAATCTTTCACATTTCCAAGATTTTGTTTCAGTTGATTTGTATTTCTATCCTGCTGAATTAATACTAACAACATCATGAGTTGGCATTCTCATGCGTTTCTCTAGAAAAGCACCTACTATGCAAAAATTGTGATGAGCAGTAAAAGTGGAGCTCATTTGCTTTGGCCTCATTTTGTCAAACACGATCATTTAGACTGCAAAAGAAACGTATACTTGTGTTTTTGTTTTCTCAGAGGGGATCAAACAGCTGGAGGAGCAGAAAGAGCTGTTGGTGTCCGAGAGTGCCAATTATTCAAGTGAAAGCCAGAAACTCCAGCAGAAACTCCAGATCATGACTGAGATGTACCAGGAGAATGAGCTCAAACTGCACAGGTATGAACCGGAGCACAGCAGCTCTCATGACAATCAGGGTTCCCACAAGTAGGGGCCGATTTAGTGATTTGAGAGCCCTAAGCAATTTCAGCCAAAGTACCAGCAGTCCTATGTAATAACAGTAATATGCACCCTTCTTATTTGTATTTATATATTTATTTGGCTGTCTTTTTCTTATTTCACTCAGTCTTTCTATATATTTTTTTTTTATCTTAACTACATTTGTAAAGATTTGTTTGCTTTAAAAAGAATTCACAACTGAAAATAATGAGTAAGGGCATACTCACTCTAGGTACAGTTGCCTTAAACCGTGCCGAAGCCTGATTGTCCCTGCTCCCCTTTCCTCCGACGGCTAGCACTCGCACTGCATTTTGCCTTCAGAATCTGATCATGCTTATGTCATTGACTGTTCAGTTTAACAGAAGCGTTCTCACACAGTGCAATGGAGATTGCTTTGGTTATATTGTTTTAGTCATTTGGGATGCAGTGACATGCAGTCAAATATTTTGCGGAACAGATCCACCACTTTTGACGCTCATAAATTAGCATAAACATCCTCGTGTTGCACGTATTAGGAGGTTTGCTAAAGGTGCAGCTGACATGCAGCGAGGGGTTTGTGTCTTTTAATAAACTATGACAATTTGCGTTCATTAAAAAAAATGAATATTTAATAAATTAATATTAAACTGCCCTTTGAAGTGACGTCGCGTCTTCAGTTTCGGGGCTCAGGCGTGCTCTGCACTCACACTACAAGCGTATCGTGCCAAAGCCCAACTGAACCGCGGTCTAGCTTACCTCTTCCAACTGGGCCAGGGCCGGCTAACTGAACCGCACCTGAGCCCGATTTGGAGCACTCACACTTGTCAAGTGAACCAGGATATGCACCTGGGCATATGTAATTTGACTGCTGGACTGATTCATGATTAGGGGTGGGGGGACACATTTGCACGGATGTACTAATTAAGGTAAATTTGTATTTGTTAGAGCCTTATCCTTCAAAATATGCTAGAAAATGATGTTATATGTAATTTATAGAAACTGACTTCCCGGAGCCCTAAGCATTCGCTTAGTTTGCTTATTGGTTAAATCCGCCCCTGCCCATGGGTCATTGAATTACTGGAATATCATGGAATTTTAAGAAGTCTATTCCAGAAATAAAAAGTCAGGGAAATTTATATACGATTGGTCCAAGTCATGGAATGAAAGCAGGGATTTTTTTTTTTTTTTTTTCTCATTTTGTTTCTCGTTTAAAATTTGACTTCCCACTTATTAAAATGTATTTCTTTGTTTGCATTTTGCTATGGTTAAGCTATTTTTCACTCTCGTTTGATTCATTTCCCACTTGTGGTCACCAAGTGGGAAATGTCTGCTCAATCCCTCCTGGATTTTGCAGGAATAATTTCTGATCGCTGCAGGCTAAAATTACAAATTTTGCAGTGCCTTTTCTCAAAATTGGCCGCAATATTTGCAGCAAGAACCTCAAGAAATCTTTTTATATATTATTTGTGCTTGTTTTTGCTTGGCTTGGCACCCATTTAAGATTGATGTGCGTGCTTTTGTGCATTGTCTCCGTCATTTATATAAAGGGAACACTGATTTTAATTCTGTCATTTGATACAACAAACCTCTCCTTGTTCAAATAGACTTTGGCTGAATGTGCATTGTGATTAATGTCACATGAGGCATCTAATGCTGATCACACACCTGAGAAAATTCAAAAGTTTGACAGCTCAAGGTATTGAACACTGGATGAGGACTTTCTTTAAGCTTTTATAAAGTTGTATGATATAAAGCAATGCAGATGGTGCAACAGTGTCCTGGCTGGACAATAACTGCAGGATATGTGCACCAATGGGCTGTATGAACAGCTAGTGTTTTTCAGCCACCGATAAACTTTTGTGAAAAGGTTAATGTGACTTGTCTTTCATAAGGTTTTTTTTACAAGCATAAATGAGAAGAAAAACTGTTTAAACACAAGTGCCGTCAGGAGCAGCAAGTCTAGCGCTGAAACTAAACTGTCTTATTTTTAAGACACGAAGGAGTACAATGGAATTAAATTCAGTGCTTCTTGTCTGATCTGAGACCCACTTTTTATCATATATTAATCAGGCCGTAAAGATAATAGATTTTTTTTAAAAGAAACCAAATCTTCAATGGGACAATTTTTATAATGGCATAATAGTTTACCGGAAAATAAGTCATTGTGCTTATACCCTGTTAAAAAGTGTAAAAATCCTTTGCATTATTTCTCATTTGCTTGATATTGTGTTAAATTCAGCCGTTTGAATTTGAAACTAATCTGAAGGGACTGCTCAACACAACAGCTACCTGTTTTCCTATTTATTATAAGTCATATAAATGCATCTTTTCAATCTGTGGAGGTCTGGAAAAAGTCTAGAGTTTAGAGTGGGACCCTGAATGCTCAGTCAGTATATATGCACAGTGCATTGTGTTTTTACATGAATTTAAAGTACTAACAGTAAAGATTGCTCAGGATGTTGACGGTGGAGGAGAAGGAGCGTTTGCAGAAGGAGGAGAAGCTCAACAAGGCAGGCAAAAAGATCAGTCTCGCTGCAGAGGAGCTCAACACTTACAGGTGACTGCAGCTTTTTGGCACATTAGAGAATGTTTGAACATGTATAAAACACATTGACATTGTAAACTCCCTTCTTGTGTTCATACAGACAACGAGCTAAAGACCTAGAGGATGAACTGGACCGGACTTCACAAGCTTTCAAGAATCAGGTAACACGCTTGAAATGTTTTATAAAGTCTAAATAATTGTTCTTCAGTTATTTGTAGCTGATGAAACCCATATTGTTAGTTTATTTACAATAATTGGTAATTAATCTATTAGTTAATGTATTTACTAAGCTGAACAATTAGTAATACATTTACTACACTATTATTTCATATTTGTTAACATTATTTAGCTTAAATAACATTAACTAATGTTAGTTCACATTAACTCACTGTGCATTAACTAATAATAACATATACAACTTTGGATTTTAATAATGCATTAGTAAATGTTGAACAATGATTAATAAATGTTTTACCAGATTATTCATGCTTAGTTGATGTTAATAAATACTGTATATTAGCTAACATTAGGTAATGGACCATTATTCTAAAGTGTTACCCACAAATCACTCAAAATTATCTCATAAACAGGTTAATTTATATGTATGTGTTTGAGTAAAATCGTAATTGACTATAATGACGATATTTTAATTAAAATTTGGATGAAATGTTATCAGACTTTCATGTTTTACTCAAGCTTATGTAAAATATTGTGGAACTGTATACAAACCAGACTAGATGGAAAGCCTCACTGATAGATCCTCTCACCCTCTTCCGTATAAATTTGAAAAGCTTCCTTCTGGTAGATTTTATTATTTATTTATTTCCTTTATTTAGCCAGGAGATCACATTGAGACAGTACTGTCTCTTCTTCCAGTGAGACCTGGTCAAGATGGCAGGCAGCACATAAAGTTTCATATAAAAATCACAAACAATACCACAAAATTACAAAATCACCATTCTTAAAACATCAGCTCATAACAAACAATTGCAGGTGTCCTTTAAAATGTTGTATAAAAGATGTTTAAAAGTACTCAGAGTCGGAAGAGTGTCAAGATTGAGCTGATTTTGCAGGTCATTCCAAGCCCTGGGAGCGTGAACGGAAAAAGCACGTTTGCCAAGTTCTGATAATGCCCTTGGAACTATCAGACGAATACATGAACCAGATCTAGTATTTTGATTGTTGGTGTGAAATGTTAATAAATTAAAAATATAGGATGGTAATTTACCTAAAAGAGCTTTTAAAATAAATAAGTACAGGTGTAATTTTCTCCTTTGATATAGAGATAACCAGTCTAAGGAATCATACAAAATACAGTGATGCGTCCGTGAATCTGCACCTGTGACAAAACGTATTGCTGCATGATAAACAGAATCTAATTTTCTTAATAGGGTAGCGGTTGCGTGCATATAGAGATGATCACCATAATCCATTATAGACAGAAATGTACTCTCTACTAATTTTTTGCGGACTTTATAAGGAAAACAATTTCTTGACCGGTATAAAAAACCTAACTTTGGCCTAAGCTTTTTCAGTAACTTGTCAATATGTATATCAAAGGCTAATCTCTCATCAATCCAAACTCCTAGATATTTATAAAAGCTAACTCTTTCTATTTGAACACCGTTCAGAGTTTTTATTGTCTGATCTGTTGACTTAGTGCGGCCACGGCTAAAGATGATACAGAGATTCATTTTTCTTTGGCTTAGTCCCATTATTCATCAGGGGTCCCCACAGCGGAATGAACTGCCAACTTATCCAGCATATGTCTAGCAACTGCCACTTATCTAGTCATTGGGCCCTATCATACACCCGGCGCAATGTGGCGCAAGGCGCTGCGCAATAGTCTTTTGCTAGTTTCAGCTTGGCGCAAGAGTCGTTTTGAGGCGTTGCGCTACGCTGTTGAAATAGCAAATGTATTAGCGCTCATATGTGCGCCCATAGGCCTTCTGGTCTAAAAAGGAAGGCGTTCTGAGGCGCACAGCTGACGCGTTGCTATTTTGAGAAACTAAAATGGTTTCTTCATTAGACCAAAACAAACCTGGTCTAAACTCCAGCGCAGAGTTGCGCCTCGCTTACGCACTGCTTAATACGCACAAGAGAGCAATAGGCAAATATCCTTACATATGAGAAAATGTAAATATTAAGAATATATATAGGATATAATAAGAATAGATATAGGATATAAATATAAAGGATTAAAATATTACAAAACATATTATTTTCTAGCCTACATAAATATGAAAAACCACTGCTTTTATGTCTTCTTCATCTCGGGAGGCTTTTTCAGTTCATTCATAACAATTTGCTTTTGTATAATGTTATTATTATTAGCAGTATTATTTATTATATCCATATTTATATTTGTTTTATTAAAAAAAAAGATTTGCCCACCTGCAGGTTTTAGACCATATGGGGCACAGCATGTGTTTTAAGATATAACTCAGGTTTTTGAACACACTTCGTTATTGTTGTTCATTTATTCGTTTGCTGGAAATTACAACTGAATTTAGAAATAGTTTTGAAACGAATATTTGCGCTTAACAAACGCAATTAATTATTTATAGAGTAACTGATGTCTGTGCGTAAAGGTTTCCCTATCCAATAGCGAAAGTGAAAGTCATTCTCACGCAGTAGATGCTCTGTTTAACAGTTTTCTGTTAAAAAAAAAACTGTTAACTGTTAACTGTTTGCTTGTGAAATGCTCAGTTTTTCCACTTAGACTTACTTTGCGTCCTGTAAATAGCGAATGTGCTTATGGTGCAACACAGCTGGCTCTTAAAGGGAATGGGAGATGAGACTTTAATTGGTTTATTCTCAAAACAAACCTATAACTCACTAAGAAAATAAACTCAACTATTTTAGACCATGCTCCATGGCGCAAAGCGGATTTTCCCATCCCTAAATTAGCAAAAATGCGTTCTGACACGCCCTGAAAGCGTTTGCGCCCTGCGTTTTGCGCTCTGCGCATGGACCGTCAAAAAAGAGCCCATTGTGTCTAAACCCTTGGCCGCAAAAGTGTGTGTTGAGTTTCCAGTATACTCCCTACTTAACATTACAGAAAAATGCCATGTCTTCAGTTTTGTCAATTGAAATGATGTTTACACAAACATGAGGTGTGTACTCCCTTACTGTGTATACAGATACTTTATATTTATTAAAATATGAGTGTTAAAATAATAAGTTTTTATTCATTTTTATATAATTAAATTAGTATTTTTTTAGCAAATCATATTTTATACTCACTTAATATGTGTAAAAACTGATCTACACACTATATCACTATCATTTTATTATATACCTTTTTTCAACCAGATTTCTTCTCATGAGAAAAAGGCTCATGATAACTGGGTAAGCTATTTTAAAAACTAGTTAAGTTCAATTAGTATCAGCCATCAGTAGAGTTTTGTTTCAGATATTGTCTTTAACTTAAATTGTCTCTGTTGTAGCTTGCCGCAAGGGCAGCTGATCGGGACCTGGCAGATGTCAAGAGAGAAAACGCTCATCTCCGCCAGAGGTGGGATTAGTACTTTATTTTCTTATTTCCTATACAGCTGAAGCAGAACTAATCCATATACGTTCACATTTGCAGGCTGACTGATGCCCAGTTTAGGTTTGATATTCTTGAAAAGGACGTACGAGAGGGCAGACCTATATTTAGAGGTAGGTACTCCGAATTTTTCCTTTTCTTTGAGCGGTTCTCTGTATTTAAAATGGATTCAACTTTGGATTGAACTTTTGAAATATGCATTGCCCAACCCTCAGGTGAAAGATCTCCTTATGGACCCTCTCCTCTTGGAAGACCATCCTCAGAAACACGGACCTTTCTGTCTCCACCAACACTAATGGACGGCCCACCTCGCCTCTCACCACAGTTTATGGGTCCAGGCAGAGGTGACACACACACACACACACACACACAAGTGTCTCTTAGCTAATATGAATAGTGTGAATTATTCTTTGCATTCGTAGTCTTTGATTTAGCATGGTTATCTAGAAGTTTGTTTGGTGTTTGTGTACGAGTGCATGCATCCTGTTCAATTTCCATTAGATATACTGTAGTTGATGTGTTTGCATTGGAGTGGTTTGATTTCCTACGGTTTGGTTTGCTTCCAGGTTTCAGTGTGGCTTAGAAAATACTGCATAGGACATTTGATCCTGATATTTTAGCATTTGCATACACACTGTTGTTTAAATTCTGGTGTCCCTAAAATGCATTTTTTTATAAAAATGATCCTCTAAATTGATGAAAAATTACAGACCGTAAAATGCTACATAATGTATTTCAATTGAGCACTGTTCTTTTGATACTTTTAAATTAATGAACAATGTTTCTTGAGCACCAAATCAGCTTATTAGAATGAATAATGTATATACAGTATATTGTAATGTATAATAAGAATGAATAATGTATATACTGTTTATTGTAATGTATAATTAGAATGAATAATGAAATAATGTAATGTCCATTTAAATTAGGGCTGCGTGATACTAGAAAAATATGTGATATGAGATATTGTTGTTGAGTATTGAGATAACGAATTTGTTTACGAAGTGACATTTCCCTTAAAAATTATGTTTTATTTAATGATATTTCAATAAGCAAAATATGTATTTCCGATCTAATTTAGACTAAGTAACTGTCAAGGGGCAAACAATTAGGGCCCTATCATACACACGGCGCAATAAGGCGCAAGACGTGAATCTATGACGTGTTGCTATTATTAGACACTAATTTTTCTGTTTTCCACTACGTTGTTTAAATGGCAAATCCATTTGCGTGTTGCTATTTTGAGGAACCAAAATAGACTGTGCAATAGACCAGCTGAGAGCAGATCTTGCTTAATACACACAGGATGTACAGCAATACACAAATATCTTTACAAATGAAAAAGAATTAAAGGAATAAAACATTACAAAAAATTATTATTTTCTACATAAATATAAAAAGCACTGCCTCCATGCCTTCTTCATCTCGGGAGGCTTTTTCAGTTTATTCATGACAATTTGCTTTTGTATAATGTTATTATTAGTAGCAGTATTATTTATTATATGCATATTTATATTTGTTTTATTCAAAACAAGCTTAGATTTGCCCACCTGTCAGGTTTTATGGGCATAGCATGTGTGTTTGGAAATAACTCAGTTGTTTGAGCACACTTTGTTATTAGTTCATTTATTCGTTTGCTGGAAATTAGAACTGAATTTAGAAATAGTTTTTAAACAAATCTTTGTGCTTAAACGAAATTAATTATGTATAAGCTGATGGATGTCCAATGCATACAACACGTTTCCTTATCCACGGAAGAGAGTGAAAGTGAAAGTAAAAAATGAGGAGAATCATCCTCTCATTCTCGCGCTGCAGATGCTCTGTTTAACTGTTTTCTCATTAGTAAAGCATTCATTTTTTCCACTTAAAAAGTCTTAAAAGAGAATAAGTAAAACCCTGTTAGACCGCGGTGTAAAATGGATTTTTCCTTAAGATAGCAAAAGTGGATTCGGACTCGCCCTCTGTTGCCCCGTGCGCTTTAGAATTTGCACCTAGATCGTTAAAGTAGAGCCCTTAGTCTTTAAAACACTATGAATGAATGAAATCCATAGCAGATATTCTAACTCTGATTAGCTGTTGTCATTTTCCTCTTTTGTCTTGACTCCCATAAATTTTTTTATGATCGATATTTAGATTTCATTTCCTATTTGCCAAAACAAAATATAAAACATTTTGTAAAAATGTAAAATATAAAAACATTGAAATGCCGTCCATCACAGATGCATTGTTATATTTATGTATCAGTACCATCTTGACAGCTGCTCAAGTGACAGTTAGCCTCGTTAGCTTAGTTAATACATTGTGCCATTGCAGTTTGTTTGCAGAACTATTTGCATACCCAGCCGTGGCTAACAAACCCTAACCCATGTTTGGATGTAAACGGGTCTTTTCATGTTTCATTATTTTGTTCATATTTTGTTGTTGTCTCCCTTTCCACCCTTCTCCATTCTTAATTTCCTCAAACGTGTTTATGTGCGTCTCTCTCCACTCCATTCATCTCCCTTCACTGTCACTGTCACATAATCAGCATCCCGTGGTGTGGTAGAGCCCCCTAGTGGTGGGCCAGAATTTGAGCGCAGTGGCCCTCATTCTGATAGTGGCTCGCTGTCTCCATCCTGGGACAGAGAACGCAGGGGCCCTCCTGTCCCTCCAGGTAAAATGATGATCTTGTAGATCTCAAAGAAACACTAATTGAAGATTTTTACGTATAGGCGGTCATGTTTCCACCTGAAATTAAAGTTACAAAAGCAACCATGAAGCAACTGCATCACGTGCAGTTATAACTAGCTTTGGAAGTGAGGAAAGGTGGATGAGCCCTAAGCATTTTAAATCACATTTACACTTAAATGTTGTGTCATCCACTTTAGATTGGATTGGGACAAGCGAAACTTTTCACAAGGTCATTTACAAGGTTTAAAATAATCAAAGAGGGAGGAAATGGTTGCGTGAAACTAATTCTGACAATTCCGCTTTTACCAATACTAAAAATAGAGCATAAGTGTATAAGCGTTTTGAGTTTGCTTGTACTTTAGTGTGAGTTTGTGCATGTATAAGACCTTCAAAGTTACAGAGCTCGTATTTTCCCACAGAAGAAATGTATTTTGTCTAACAGAGATCAAAAAGTCTGCACAACATATAGTTTGAGCATCTAAATCACAATGCGTTTGATTTATATATATCACCAAAAAATAAATACTGTCCACCTCTGTCACATTTCATCCACATAATATTGTGTCAAATTTTAAGTAAACCATATTGTTGTTGCATGTTGTGAAAACATTGTTTGCCTTGATACCGAAGAAGCTTACCACTTTTAAATATTTTGCTCAAGACGTAATTTCTACATTGTCAGAATCTGACTGGTAATATGTAGACAAGGCCTGCACGAAATTGGAAAAATCTAACATTGCTATACATATATATATATATATATACTGCGGTATGAATACAATTTCACTAGATGAGTTGAAGAACTATTTGGAAAGAATTTTAAATTTTTAGATTGATAGGGATGATTCTGTATAAGAGTGCATTAAAAATAACAAACAATCTACAAGCGTAGATTAATTCAATAAGGAAAAGGTTTTCAAACTGTATTTAGGTATACAGTAGTTGAATAATCAAGTAAAAAATAATACTGCATAGTCTTTGTTTTATTAACAACTCAATAAAATTAATTGTTTATTAATTTGTCAAACGGTACAATTTCTTAGGCCTGACTGTTTAATATATTTATATCATTTGCTAATTAATAACCACCTTATGTGGAACTCTGAATCTGCTCTGGTTTCGGAGTCTGCTACTGTCCAACGGAGGTTGCATTTCCGTCACAGGCGCATGCTTTGAGAGCCTTCATGACTGAATGAATGAATTAGGCTGTTTTCCAACAAGGCAACCCGGGGAGCTGAAATATAAAAGAACCAAAACAAAGACAGCCGTTCTGGCACGTAACAGACTTTTTAAAAGTAGAATATTTGACTTCAGCATTGCTTTTTTAGCTAAACAATCACTTAGCATGTTTCTTAAATATCTGCAAGCATATTATGGTATTATTATGCTTTAGAGGAGTCAGAAACTTACACACAGTACCTTTAAGTGTGTCATCATTACTCCTAAAAATGCAATCTTTTTTTAGCCTATAATAGTGCGTAAATTACAAACCGCTTTAGAAGATGCGACCTTCTTTCTGTCCATAAAACATTTGTTTTTTTTTTCTTAAAGTTTAAAAGACGTGTCTGAAGTAAAGTTAAGTTTTTTCCATCAGAAAAGTACGCTTTTGTTTGGCACGCATATTCAAAGACATTGGAAAAAGTAGCAAACGCTGAAATACGTGCAATCAATTTGGCCATAATGGCCATTTAGGGAGAAATACTCAACTCTTTACTGTCTTGTAATTTTAATCAAAATGTCAGTGTTAGAATGAAATATACACACACTTAGGAAATGTCAGGGTATGGTTGTTATTGAATTGCAAAATGTAAAACAGTCGAAATGACAGCTTCTGTAGTTCTAGTTTTAAGATATGATGGCAGTTTATGACACACATTTGAGGTGTTTAGCCAATCACAACACACTGGGTCAATCTGCTGGCCAATCAGAGCACTCTAAGCATTCAGAAGGCAGAAGATCCGCTGTCACCTCTGGCTTGCATGGTTCAGGATCGGTAGAGCTACGCATCGATAAATTTGCTCTTCAGTGTTTGGACTCTCAGTAATGACTTTAAACTAAACTGAACTGAACTTAAACACTAAAAACTGAACTACCCTGATCCAGTTACTATGACCATTTATGTAAAGCTGCTTTGACACAATCTACATTGTAAAAGCGCTATACAAATAAAGCTGAATTGAATTGCATTAAATTGAATCTTTGTAGAAACCGTAACTCGTTATTTGCCATATTTTTAGGATATATATATATTTTTTAAACAAAGCATATTAAACAATTCTAATAAACAAATGATATATTAAATTATATTAGACAAAAACAGTAAATCCTACAAAACATGTGGAGTATGTTGCCAGAGAGGCTTATATGCTAAGTTTAGTATCAGTGTGATATAAGATATAAATCTTGTGTGTGTAGTTTATCCAGCAGTGTGTAAAAGAGGCTCATATAAAGGTGTTTCTGTTGCTGGCGCTCAGACTCAGTGATTCAGAAGCGCTGATTCAGCCACACAGCACATTGAAGAGTCACAGAACTGGGTCTTCTTTGTTCTAGATGTTTCTGCATTTTTGGTCAGTGCGTCAGGCTTTGTCCCACTGCCCCCTACTGCTCCTCACAACTGGGCCGGATACTGACAGTTCAGCCAATGTGGATGAATTATTCAGGACAACGACTACTTTTTTTTTTTTTTTCCCATTATCATCATGGTCATACAGCAGTGGTGGTTTTACATGTGTGTGTAGTGGATCATTCCCATGATATGCTAATTGCTCTTGCATCTTAAGTTTTAGTTTTGTTTTTATTTTTTATGTACATTGTTATTGAACAGTTTAGTTTTCAGTTAGTAATGTTAAGATAATGCATTGTACGCATTATTAAATGTTTAAAAGACTCTTGATATTAATTAAAACAATATCATTTTTAATTAGAATTAATAAATGTGTATATATGAAGAATATAAATACTATGCACCATTGAAGGCAAAATTATTAGCTCTTCTGTGAAATGTTTGATTCGTTTTCGAATATTTCCTGATTAATGTTTAACAGAGCAATGGCAATTTCACAGTATTTCTTGTTGTTATTATTATTATTATTGTTGTTATTATTATTAATATTCCTGTTTTCCTTTAGAAATATATTATGTAGTCAAATTAATTAAGTTAATCATTTAAATTGCACTTCAGGCTGAATACTAGTATCTTGCAAAATAACAAGTAAAAGGTTATGTACTGTCATCGTGGCAAAGAGAAAAGAAATTGGTTATTAAAATGATTATGTTTCAGAAGTCTCTCCATTAATTATCCCTTTGAAATGATTAAAATTTCACAGAAGAGCTTGTAATTTTGCATTTAGCTCTATGTTATATCACTTATTAAATAATTGTTGTTTTGTTCATATAAGAGTTTTGTCTTATTATAAATATAAATGTAATTTTGTTATATACATAATCAAATATTCTTTGCGATATATAAACCTTTAATCCTTGTTTATGTTTATTGTATGCTTCTGGAAGGTCACCCTCTCCCAGATCCGGGTTTGCCATATAGGAGGCCTCCTCCGGGTCCGTATCCCATGGGTCCTTTGCCTCCTAGACCTCCACTTCCTCCTGAGCAGTACTTTGGAGACAAATCAGGTGATCTGCTCTACAATGTTTCATTTCTCTTTTGCTTCTCTTAAAGTCCTCCTAAAACTAAATTAAAGTTGACGTGCGCATATTTCATAACCAGGTAACACTTTACAATAAGGTTCATTAGTTAATGCATTTACTAACATGAACTAATCATGAACAACACTTGTACAGCATTTATTAATCATAAATGAACATTTACTAATGCAATATTAACATTCAAGTCCATGCTTGTTAACATTAGTTAATGCACTCTGAGTTAACATGAACTAACAATGAACAACTGTATTTTAATTAACTAACGTTTAATAACATGAATAAATATTGTAGTAAATGTATTGTTCATTGTTTGTTCATGTTAGTAAATGCATTACTTAACATTAACTAATGAACCTTATTGTAAAGTGTGACCCATAACCAGTACTAGTCAATACAGTGTTGATCTGAAGTCCTCCATATTTATTACTTGTAACAATGCAAAAAAGAACCACAAAAACCCCGGATACGGAATCTTTTCTACGGCAAACCAAGAGGGACATATTGCACATATAGTTCGCATACAGACAACTTGGACATTCAGAATTCAGTCCCTTACATACAATTATAATTGTGTATGTGTTGACTTGGTGCACTTTATTGGGCAGGGGTGCCCAAACTCATACCTGGAGGACCAGTGTTCTGCATAGTATAGCTCCAACTTCCTTCAACACACCTGTCTGAAAGCTAGAGCTTGATTGGCTAGTTCAAATGTGTTTATTTGGAGTTGGAACTAAAATATGCAGGACACCGGCCCTCCAGAACCGATTTTGGGCACCTCTCTTATAGGCAATGTGTAATGACACATTAAGTGTGATTTTCATTGGGGGTGAATGAAGTCTGGTTTGTGTTAATGTTTCACTAACACTTTACAATAAGGTTCATTAGTTAATGCATTTACTAACATGAACTAATCGTGAACAACACTTGTACAGCATTTATTAATCATAATTAAACATTTACTAATGCATTATTAACATTCAAACTCATGCTTGTTAACATTAGTTAATGCACCATGAGTTAACATGAACTCACAATGAACTACTGTATTTTCATTAACTAATGTTAACTAACATGAACAACTACTGTAGTAGATGTATTGTTAATTGTTTGTTCATGTTAGTAAATGCATTAAGTAATATAAACTAATGAACCTTATTATAAAGTGTGACCAATGTTTCAAACTTCCGCAACGGCACATACATGATCTGCTTTGGTCCAGAGAAATGATATGCAGAGTTTGTGCAGACTACAAAACGTATATTCTTGTTGTAAATCAGAGCAGAATAACTGTAAGAGGCTCACTTTTGACATGGTTTTATGGTATATCAAAGAAAAAAATCTTATTTAATATTTTTAAAGTCTTTGTGAGCTGGAAGTTGCTGAGACTTTTATTTCAGTTTGTTAACGTACTTCCAGCTGAAACTGAATATTGAGTAGGGGGCGGGGCTTTCTTTTTGCACATAGTAATCTAACATTAAAAGGGGCGTGGCTAAGAATATTGTAGCTGAAACATCCAACTGACGTCAACAGAGAAGGATCGCCACTCCAAACACAGAAGCAAATGATCAGACTTTGATTGAAAATTGCCAAAACACATTTCAGTGAATTCACCTACAAGAATAAGAATGTGCCGCAGCAAGATAAACATTATAAATTGTGATTTTACACAGACCTCAATGTCAAATAAATTTTTTTATTTTTTTTTGTACTGTCTATTATTGACGTACTGAAGTCGCCATTGCTATTATTATGTAATATGTTATTATCTGTATTGATCTTGCCATGAAATAGGCATACATTGCTGATGTGGCAATAAATAAACAAACAAAACATGTTTTCATGTATGTAGCTTGTGGAATAGCATTACCAAGACTTACAGTAAATCTTTCTAGCGATCCTGCAGAATGAATTTAAAACCCAAAGTGTGCTTTCCTCTTCTTTTTTCAGATTCATCATTTCTAAGGAACAGCTCATCTATCAGTGAACATGAGGGCAGAGAAGTGAGTTCACCTTTTATTGACTTAAAGGATTTTAGTTCTCTCAAAAATGAAAATTCTGTCATTAATTAATCACCATCATTTTGTTTCAATCCCCCAAGAGCTTCATTTCATTTCGGCTAGAATAAAAGCAGTTTTTAATTGTTTAAAACCATTTTAAGGTCAATTTTTTTTGCCCCTTTAAGTTGTGTATTTTTCACGAGATTGCTATATTAAAATGATTGAAGTCATGCACTTTCTACTTTTCTCTGATTGATTACTTCAAACAGCCTCATGCTCGCGCCTGCAACTAGTACAAGCAAGTCTGTTCATTCACAAACGATGTAAGAAGTGAAAGTGAAAGTCTATCTTTGTGTATTTTTGTGTGAACTATTTAATATATCTGCATAGTTTTCCCAATTATTGTCCTGTAAGTGCTTTATAACAGACGCACACCCATACAGGAGGATTTAGCGATTTGGTGTTTCTGCTATAAAATGTAATGTAAAATAAACCTGCATATGAGCTTCAGAGCTGTTCACTGTTCCTGTCAGCGATCTCCTAAAAATATCCAGCTGCAAACCCATCTGCCATCAGATCGACGCGTATCAACAGATTTAGGGTGTTTTACTGTATTTTACATTTGTCTGTATATTTTTGAATAGTAGATATTTAATAGTAGATATTCAGTCAGTTCAGCTTAAAGCAGAAGCTGGTATTTTGCAATCTCCCTGTTGACCTCTGGATCTCTTTCTGAATCTGTGTATGTTTTTTAAAAATTGATAAATGTAAAATAATTAATAACTAAAACTATATAATATAGATAATTTTTATCTAGATTAATCTCACTGTAATCTTGGAATTAATCTATGTTAATCTAGATTAAAAAGACTCATTTGAATTCTGCTGAAGGCATTCAGAATATGTGTGCTACCCAAATAATGAGAACGGGTTTCTCAAGCCAGGTGGCGCATTAGACCAGCGGCTCATCTCCTGTTTCCAAAATGCATCACAAACTGCTTGAGAAACTGTTCTACTATGATAACTGGTGATGAAAACAATTTATGTTCGATAAGATGTACTTGTGTTTACTAACTGTTCATTCAGTTAAACAGGAATTCTATACATATATTAGTGGCATTATTAAAGTAAACACTGCAATCAAACAATTACCGTCATGTAGGACTTTTCGCCATATTTTCCCACAAGATCCACACACACGGCTGCCAGTAAAGGACCGCACCAGACCGCACACACACACACAGGCATACACTCACAAACACACAAACACACACTCACTCGCACATTGCGAAATGTGGAAGTTTTTTTTTTTTCTGTTTGGCGTGTGTTATTAAATTCCATAACACTCTCACCAGTCCTTACTCCTTATTTGCGTCTAATACCCCAGTTTGTCACGGAGGCATGAATGAAATATTCATGAGTGAATGTGAAACTGCTGAACTGTTGTTAAAGTCACCCAAAATCACAGGAAACTCTTACATGAAAGCACTTCACGTGAACACCTTAATTATATTATTGTCTATTAAGACAAATAACTCGATTACAGATGTCCATGTAAATGTAGTCAGTAGTGTCTTCGAAGTAAGTGATAGATCCAGAAGGGCATCCTGCTGATTTGATTCAGAAGGACACTTTTTTGTTAGACGGCTCATCGGTCAGGTATACATTTGCACTAAAATATCAAGGTGAAAGTCATCATAAATTGCGTAGAAAAGACCCAGCTTCCAACCCAACTTTGAGAATAGATTAACGGCGATATTTTTTTTAATCGCCCAATAAGAGTCTCACGATAACGCAGCACGTTAACGCCAATAACGGCCCACCACTAATATATATAGTTATAGTTTTATATATAATTGCTGATAATAGATTGCACAACAAATGTATAATATATATATATATGTATATATATATGTGTGTGTGTGTGTGTGTGTGTGTGTGTATATATGTATGTGTGTATATATATTTATATATATATATATATATGTATATATATATATATATATATATATATATTTATATATATATATATATATATATATATATATATGTATATATGTGTATATATATGTATATATATGTGTGTGTGTGTGTGTGTGTGTGTGTGTGTGTGTGTGTGTGTGTGTGTGTGTGTGTGTGTGTATATATATATATATATATATGTGTGTGTGTGTGTGTGTGTGTGTGTGTGTGTGTGTGTGTGTGTGTGTGTGTGTGTGTGTGTGTGTGTGTGTGTGTGTGTGTGTGTGTGTGTGTGTGTGTGTGTGTGTATATGCTAATAAATAAAGGTTTAAATAAGCATTTCATATAAACATTTTAGAGAAAATGTCAGATAGGTAAGCCTTCAAAAATTTATCAGAAAAAGAAGTGGCCCCCGAAGAGAAAAAGGTTGAAAACATTTGGTCTACAGAACAAACCATCATTATACAGTGATTTGCCTATTTACCCTAACCGCTCTAATTGATCCTTTTTAAATGTCACTTTAGGCTGTATAGAAGTGTCTTGAAAAATATATCTAGTCAAATATTCTTTACCGTCATCATGGCAAAAATAAAATAAAAGTTTTATAATAAAATAAGTTACGAGAGATGAGTTATTAAAACTATTATGTGTAGAAATGTGCTAAAAAACAATCTTCATTCCATTAAACAGAAATCAGGGAAATAAATATACAGGGGGCTAATAATTGAGGAGGGCTAATAATTCTGACTTCAACTATATGTGTGTGTGTGTGTTGTACAGGGCTCTGGAGATATGAGGCTGCCACCTGATCCAGATTCTCGAATGGGACCTCTTCCTCCTCCCGGGCCTCCATTAATGTCAATGCCTCCGCCGATGGACCCAAGGGATCCACATTTTCCACACAGGGGCCCTTTTGGACCTCCGGATTACTTTCCTCCTCGTGGGCCTCATGTTCTCCCTATGGGCAGTAAGTCAACTTCTTTCTCCACTGCTTTAGCACAATCGCCTCAAAGAAAGAAGGTTGCTGGTTTGAGCCCCAGCTGGGTCAGTTGGCATTTCTGTGTGGGGTTTGCATGTTCTCTCCATGTTCACTCGGGTTTCCTCCGGGTGCTCCAGTTTTTCCCACAGTCCAAAGGCATGCAGAATAAGTGAATTGAATAAGCTAAATTGTCTGTAGTGTATGTTTGTAAATGCAAGAGTGTAAGGATTTTTCCCAGTGATGGGTTGTGGCTGGAAGGGCATCCACTGCATAAAACATATGCTGGATAAGTTGGCTGTTCATTCCACTGTGGCGACCCCTGATTTATAAAGGGACTAAGCTGAAAAGAAAATGAATGAATGAACTATGAATCATTTATTATCATTACACTTCTGTTTATTATTAATACACATTTTAATTGTAGGCGGTCACTACTTGGGTTTTTATATAAGTAAATGACTTTAAAATGACATATTTATATATAACTTTAAGTGTTATATATTCATAAGTGCTGCCCCGTTTCAAAGAGATATAAAAATTAATTTGTGAGCTATTTTGAGCTGAAACTTACATATTCTAGTAACATCAGAGACTTATTTTACATCTTGTAAAAGGCCGTAATAAGACCCTTTTAACTTTTACTATAAATAATACAGTACATAAAATAATCTAGACAATTAACTCGCACAGACTGATAACAATACGATCATGTGTGTCCTCCAGTGCGCGGGCCGCTTCCTCCAGGAATGTTTCCCCGAGCTCCAGTGCCGTTCCCTCAACACATGGGCTTCCTGCCACCCAGAGCCCCATCCGACAGCTTCACCCACGGACCTCCACCCAGACCCTCTCCACCCGGCAGCGAACAGCCACCAGACCAGCCACCGGCTCCTCACGACGCCATCTGAACGCCCGCTTCCTGCAGACTGCAAACCACTTCCTGTTGACATGCTCAGGGCTGCTTCATGAAGCCACAGCAGTCTCGTGATTACACGCTGAGCTTTCACTTAAAGGGATAGTTCACTCAAAACTAAACATTTACTCACCTTTCACTTGTTTCTTTTCACAGGAGGTATTTTGAAGAATGTTCTGGTTTCATTGACTAGATTAGTAGTATTTTTTGCTATTATTGGTGTCAGTGTAGAGCAGTTCTCATCATATCCTATTAAAACATCGTAAGAGGAAATAAGGTTGGAGTAAATTGTAGTTTTTGAGTGAACTGTCCCTTTAAGAGTGTAAGCATGGTGAGTTTATGGAGGAAGCTGACGTCTGTCTTTCAGGAACAGCAGAAGTGCAGCATTTTGTTATTTTAATGAACCTGGAGTTAACTTATAAAGTCAACAGGACTGCTAGATGCTCAGGTTTGTGATGTTATTATGCTTTTTTAGTTGATGAAAGGTCCTCATGTTTGTCAAATTGTGTATATATAGGGTGTCTAAGAAGTATATATTGTTAATAGGATATCATTGAAACAAAACTTTTGGTAACTAATAAATCCAACAAGTGAGTACACAGAGAACCGTCCATGTAGCGTATATATATATATATTTATAGTTTTCCTTAAATAACAGCTCATGCCTTAATATGTGGTCTGATGAAATTATGTACGTTAATAATAAAGCCGCAACTGAAAACGGAACTGGATTACTTTGATGTTTTGGTTTATATATATATATATATATATATATATATATATATATATATATATATATTTGCCATTTTTGCCTGTATTTGACTTGACAGTAGGTTGACAGGAATTGAAGTGGGAGAGGATGGTAGGATGTGGAGAATTCCACAAGCTGGAATTCGAACTCTGGACATCTGGAGCAACTCCCTGCTTTACATCCAATTTGGGGTGGGTTGGGTGGTGTATGACAAACGGGGTTACAAAAACTGTAATGTGATTTAAATAAAAAATAATATCAAGATTTTTTTGTCTTTTTTAGCTTCCAAATATGAAGACATATCAGTGTTGGTCACGTTTGCCATTTCAGTGCTTCCGTAAATTATTTGTGATTTATCAAATAAATTAAAAGCTACCTTATCTGTCTTTCGGATGAGACGTTAAACCAAGGTCCTGACTCTCTTTGGTCATTAAAAGTCCCATGGCACTTTTCATAAAGAGTAAGGGGGTCATACTGCTGTCCTGGCCCTTGGACTTTTAATTTCAGTCAGCCAGCTTCATTACTTCCGGTGAACTTTCTTATCCATTATAAAATTTCCACGTTTAAGGTCTGATTTCTTTAAAAATCAGTGATCTTTATTGCCCGATTGATATACGATATAGAGTGGGTCTCTGACCGGACGAGAACCAATGCATTAAATTCCATTTCCACTGCCATGTCTTTAAATTATGACAGTTTAATATACCCCAGTACGTGACGGTGCCAGCGGTTACACAATCTTTCATCTTGTTTTACCTTTGAACAACTAAACGAACGCTTAAACCAATGTAACTGAATGTATTGTAATTATATTACGTTGATGCTGTAAAAGGAACCTTATAAAATTTGAAATTGTTACATAAAGCTTTCACTGGAAGTGGCTGAAAAACTCTAGCTGTGCGCATATATATATATATATATATATATATATATATATTTATATATATATATATATAGATAGATAGATAGCCCATTTGCTCTATCACTTTCTCCACTCCACCAATAGCAGGTGTGTGGTAAGCACACCGGTGTCCTTGTCCTGTGGCTGCCGTCTAATTGGATGCTGCACACTGGTAGTGGTGTGGAGAAACCCTGCCCCTTATGATTGTAAAGTGCTTTGGGTGTGTAGCCGTACATCAGGGGTGGCCAACCCTGTTCCTGGAGAGCCACCTTCCTGCAGATTTCAGTTGCTACCCATATCAAGCACACCTGAACCAATTAATTAGGACCTGAACACCACGGCATAATTACAGGCAGGTGTGTTTGATATGGGTTGCAACTGAAATCTGAACTGAACTCTGCCCTACATGATAAATGTGCTATATAAATACACATTACTTGGGCTGAAGTAGGGCTGGGCTGATAAAACGATATTATATCAAATCGTGATGAAATTTATATCAATAACAATGATCAGCTCTGGACTCTTACACTCTATATCAGGGGTCACCAATCTCGTTCTTGGAGGTCCGGTGCATGGCAGGTTTTAGTTCCAACTTGCTTCAACACATCTGCCTGTGTGTTTCAAGTAGTAAAGCTGCGGTCACACTGGGCTTTTCCACCCACAGACTTCCATTCATACGCACGCGAATGCGTCAGACTGGAACCGCAGGGTAATGCGTCAAGTTTTGCAGGTTGCAGTGATGCAAAGTTCAAGCTTGGTGAACTCTGACCTGCGAAATCGCATCACTTGACTGCGTGAGAAGAATCGAGGATCAAAACATGACATCTCTGGACAGAAATGTAAAACATGGAGCAATCGCTCGCTTTTAAAAATGTCTTATAAGCTTGTTTATTCCCGCCCCTTTTCGCAGCGCTGCACGTATGAATTTCGCATGCTCAAACTCTAATGTAACCGCAGCTTAAGACCTTGATTAGCTTGTTCAGGTGTGTTTGATTAGGGTTGGAGGTAAAATCTGCAGGACACCGGCCCTCCAGAAACAAGTTTGGTGATTCCTGCTCTATATGATCTAAGAGCCTATCACACAGCAGAAATATGCAACAATGAGAATCTAGAAATGTGTTTATATTAGAGATGTACCAAATGTTTGACAGCTGAAAATGTATCGGTCGAAAACTTGTTATGCCATTTAATGGATCCTGTTTTTTGTGGCGTCAGTTATTGTTGGGGTACTCTTTCAAATCTGGATACATTAACAACTTGTATCGGAATATGTATCATTATCATTCAATATGGACAATAATTATCGAGTTTGCATATTTGCCCTATATTAATGTTCAAAAAGAGTGAGAAGAGCATTATACTGTTCATTCAGTCACCCAATGTGATTAACAAATTGCCCTGCAGATCAGGAATGTATGAAAGAAAGACACACGAAGACGATGTTGTTGTTTTTTTATGCTTTTATTTTACCGATTAAAAGAAAATGCATTCGTTCAACATTAATTCAAATCAACATTCGGCTGGTTTACCCAATATCTGTCAGTTAAGTTTTTTCCAAAGGTTTTCCTTCTTTTATCGTGGAACCTCGAGATCACTTTTTTTCTCATTAAAATCTTCCCACCTGGCATGTTCACACCTGTGCCAGAGTACTTCCTGTTTGCAGATGTACATATAAAATCCAATGCTGTGTGCTCACCGGAGACAAAAAAGTAGACAGAACACACCTGCCCAAATATTAAACATTTAAGATGGTAAAACCATTTTTGCAAAACAACAACGCTTATAAACTTTTTTTTTTATCTCAATGTTCATAAATAGAACCCGGACACGTGTTGCATAAAAGTATATACGTTGATACATGTATATATACGCATATGCAGGTTTATGTTGTCATCATATTTAACTCCCCGTTAAGTTTATAAGATAGCAGCGTGGTCTTAGCACTGCTGGTGCCCCATGATGGCCCCTTCTTTATTGCAAACTGTCCTGATTTTAAACAAATGCACAACATTCGTACCACTTATAACTGGGGCCTTCTGGCCAGTCTCATAGAGACCATGTCTGTAACCCACGGTCGCCCCTGAAACTTAGTTGGCTTCCGAAGAATCAAGATCTTAAAACAATAATAATAACAATAATAAGGCCAAGTTTCATTGCAAGTTAGGTTGTTTCCGTTTGAGTGACAGAAAACGAAAAGAAAAAGCCAAAGAAAACAAAACAAGTTAAGAGCCGTTGGATCGTATGCATTCCGTTTGCATAGTTTTCTCTCTATTTTTGACGATAAAGTCCGAGATTGGACCTGCATTGGAAACTCGGACTGTTAGTTTTAACCGAAGGCTGGCGTGAGGTTGATCATCGGTAAGGTAGCTCTCGGGAAAAAAAAAAAAAAAGCTGTAAAACGCTGACCTTCTCAGATGGGGTCATAGCAGCCCTCGTTCTCCTTACTACGAGATTGTGAAATGCATATAATGTTGTTGTTGTTGTTGTTGTTTCGGGAAAACAAAACAGAAATTAAAAGAAAGAAACTGGGATCCGACTGAGTTGTAACAACCGACTGGCCAAATCGATCGAGATTAAAAACCTACATGGCTCAAGAATTTCATAGCAGGACCAGTCGAACGCTGATTCCAGGATCCCACCCCTTGCCCCGACCAAACAGAAAAGAAGAAGAGTAAAAAAATAAATCATTTCATGCAGACATTTGGCCATTTTAGTTTGTTTTTAACTCCCCAGTGGAATGTTCCTAACACGTCTCATAGCAGCTTATAGGTCTGATAGAACCAACCTTGATTTTCAATAGTTAAATTACATTCACTCTTCACAGTGAAACAGGTGCATTGTAAGAGAGATCTAACGTTATTATGTTGACCATAGCCACAGCACAGCTGCGGACCACCGCTCAAGTCCAACCACCCCTCCGTTAGTACATTTATCTAATAGTAGTTGTCGTAATACGATAGTAGTAGTACATCTCGGCCCATCAGCCATTGGCCCTGCCCTCTGCCAGCATGCGGGCACTTTCGAAAGAATGAAAGAGAGTCGTATCACCGTTATCTTTGGCAGCTGACGCAGATGATGCGCTGACAGAAGTTCAATCCAGTGATTTTGTCGAGAAGATTCTTCATTAATGCAAACTTTCATGGTGAGAGGCCTGAGCTATTGGACTCGTTTAGTTTCCTCCACACGTCTAACAATAACCCTGAGAATGGCTGTATCCTGTTCACTGCTGAGGAAGTGGTACGCTTTATTCTGAACACACACCTCCTTCTCTGATGTATGCACTTTATCAACGATAACACGACACATTCGCATGCACACGTAAGATTGCAAAGAAAAACGAGAAACACTGATGGTTTTTGTCTTTGTAACGCTTCGTCGACCAGGAACGTACGAATGACATGGGTTTGAAATGAAAGCTATTGTGGGTTTTAGGCACGGTATGAATGCTTTCGCCATTTGTAACGCGTCATACGCTGTCGTTCTACGTCAACTCTAGTCCTTCAGGAAAAACCAACGTACAAGCTCCGAATTAAGAACACACTCGTTTTGTTTTTTTGGTGCTGGTACTAAGTAGAACGTTTCTAAATCAACAAAAAAAGAGAGAATAAACACAGAATCCCACTACTGGCACACGTTTAAGAGCATTCCGACATGTTCAATACAGCAAGTTTGGCACCAATGTCAACGCACCTGAAAACAGCACATTTAATCTGTTGGTTAATCAAAAAGGGAGCAAGTTTTACAGATCTGACGCCGCCCTTTTTGCGTTCTGTGCCACCAACTACGGAAACCTGCCGTTTTCACCAATGTTGACATGGGTACCACAATAGGTTGTAAACTTGTCAACATTTAGTCAAGCTGGAACTCTGCTTCGCATTTCTAAGGTGTCGAATCACGTCAACCCTTCGTGCACGTGCCAAGAGTTGTTCGACCTCATTGGTTAACTGCTTCAAATCTTTTTTGGACCACAGATAATAATAAATCCTCACAAGATCATAAGGTCACCCCTCACTTGATAAGCTTGCATATAGAGATCGTTTTCATGCTGCAAAGGTTTGCTTTGGCTATTTTTG